AATAGTTAGAGAGCAAGTGCACTGATAAGTGATAAAATCTTCATGCCAGTAGAGTAAGATGAAGTAAAGACTGTGTTTAATATCAGGCTGCATCCTTCATTCAAGTTCCCTTCCAGTTGTCTGTGGAGCTCCATGGCCCTTATTTCTGTATTAAATTATTTCCCATGGAGTAGGAATGCCAGACACCTTTCACTGGGTAGTCCATAGCAAGTCCAGCTTTATGTCTTTTTAAAACTTCTTTTGACACGGTTAGAGGCATCTTATCTGTCAACATCTAAGTCCTGACCACATACAAATATTAAGAGAATTTAAACAAAAATATCTAAAGGAAGGCTGCACTTAATAATGTGCACTAAATGTGGTGAGAAGTGGGAAGTTGATGGCACCTGACAGCACTTGGTCTGTAAAGCATAAAGAGCTGATGTTTCTTTCAGGCCAAGACCTCTGGGAAGTTCTCTGATGAGGAGTTGGATAAGCTTTGGCGAGAATTTAAGCATCACAAAGAAAAGATTCGTGAATACAATATTCTGCTGGAGACTGTGAGCAGAACAGAAGGTGCCTGAACATTTCTCTGATATTTCAAGATCAGTACAACTCTTTTCTCTGTCCATTGTTTCCATGGCTTTCAAATTTCTTTGTAACTCCTGACATTTCTGTCAGAACCGCTTGCAGATACTTCATGGATTTAGTTCGGCATTAGCTGCCAAAATTCTTGCCAGCTGATGGAAATGTTGCCATTTCAGTTTTGTGATTTTGCCTGAATTTCATGCAGGGATGATGCCGTCAGATTAGCAATGATGGCCATTGTAGCTCACAGGAAATGCAGCAAGCAGAAATCCACTGCTGCAAAATGCGGTTCTAAAGTCTGCATAACATGCATGTTTTATCTCACCAAGAGCAGATACTGAATATCTTAGGCACCAAGCCTGAAGTTTATTAGAGCATCAAGGTTCTGAACCCAGCTTGCTATAATAATCTGAGCTAAAATTTTTAGAGCTGAAGAGTTCTAAAGCTGACAGTTTTGTGTTTGCATGGTTTGGTTTCAGTCCAAGCTGGAAGCTGCTGAAAATCATTTCACCCTGAGATGTCTTGGTTCATTAAATGTCCAGGGAAGAACTCATTAAACTTCCTTATCCCATTTTCTTGGGAAATGGCTAACCTGGGAAAATTAGAGCATTTCCTTACTATAACTGAGTGGCTAGAAGGGTTAATATATAAAGGCATTTCTGTAACATTACCCTCCAGAACACCAAGGGACATTGATCTGAATACTGACCTGAGAAAGGAATTCTTAAAGTCTGATATTGATTCTTTATTTGTGTTTAACTTAATCCTAAGAATTTAGCTTCTTTTATTCACCTCAAATTTGGGGGATTTTTGGAGTTTTTGACCAATCAAGATTTGGCCCACAATCAATAACATTTACTGTTCTTCAACAGATATCCACAAAAATGTTATCAATCCATCTGAGGAGAACATGGTGAAAGAGGAAATCTTGCACAACAAACACAGAGAACTCAAGGAGAAGTTAAGAAGCATCAATCAGGGGTTTGAGCGTTTACGTAAAGTCAGTCACCAGGGATATGACACAACCAGTGGTATGATACAGTGGGGTTTGTGCTTATCTGGGATATGTTTAATTTTTTAAAAAATTTAAATCAGTGGGCAAGTAAAAGGGTATAGTCACAGTATCCCAGTGCATCTTGTACCACAATGGGCTGAGGAGATAAGGCCAGCTAGTTCTGTTCAGAACCAAACACTGGGAGCCTAATGAAAGGACACAGTCAGTGTGTTAAGAGGATAGTTCTGTCCTCCATACCCCCATGAGAAAGGATACTGCCCCAGGAGGGTAAGTAAATGAGACAACATGCAGGGCAAGCAATGCCTTTATCCAGTTCCTCAGGTTTTTTTTGCTTTTAAAAACTTAGTAGTAGAAGTATCTAGTTCTATCCAGTACTTCAATACTTCTCCCTTTGCATCTAGATAGATCTATTAGAAGCGCAGTGCTTATTGTCTCTGGTCTTAATATCTATATGTATGTGAAAAAGCATCTCTTCATCTTTCATAGAAGTTGGGCATTAAAATCGTTGTGTCCAGATTTTCATTTTGTTATATGTGTTTGTTT